AGGCTCCTGCTTTTATAGTGATCCAAATTGCTTAAAGACTAAGTACTAACAACTTTTCTATTCAGTGAACCATTCTGAGTGAAGGCAGTAACACGATTAGCCAACATCATGAATATGAGCAAGCATCAACATCATTTTTCTACATGGTAGTATCCCTAATTAAGAGCATCTTGCAACATTTCCCAGATTTGTGGTGTTCACTGGGCCTTGGAATGCAAATGTGTTTTATTTACTGCCTTGAGACATATGTCACAGCTTATTTGGAATCATCTATGTGCTCTCTTCTTCCTCTGTTGACATCTGGAGAAATCCCTTCTCATTGTTAGGCATGTTGTCTTCAATATGAACAATCAAAGAAGCTTTGCTTAAAGTTACTGCTTATTCTCATGATAGCTATTTGTATTTTTTCCTTAATATTTGCATCATGGTTTCACAGAAATGGAAGGCTTTAAAAGTGAACACATAAGGAAGAAGTCAAGGAAATACAATAAATTATGATTAAAATCAACATAACAATTATTGGGGTTGCTAATATGAAAATAATTTAACTCATCAATTTCTTGGGGCTAGAGATACAGCTTTCTGCTTAAGAGCACTGGCTGCTCTTGCAAAAGACCGAGGTTGATTCTCAGCACACATATGGCAGCTGACAATCGTCTATAATTTCAGTTCCAGGGGATCCAACGTCCTCTTCTGAAGTCTGTGGGCATAGTATGACATGGGTGCATTTACATGCATGCAGGCAATACACTCATACACATAAAAAATAAAGTATTTTAAACAATAGGCATTGACTGAGTCTCTGCTTACAGCTAAGGCACTAAAATGCCACCATTGTATACCATTCTGCACCCCTTTTCACAGAAACTCACTACCTAATCCTAATCAAAAGAGTTAGGACCAGTGAGGAGTAGATTAACTGTGGGAGCAAGGAAGAAACTAGGGTGAGTGTAACCTCCTACAGGAGATTATGATCCTAGCTAATTATTGCCTTGCTGGACTTTCATCTATTCAGCTATACCTGTCATTTTGCAAATTTCTTTCTTTTTTTCTTTTTTTTTTTTTTCTTGCTAAGGCTTGAATGTATTGGGAACTTAATTTCCAAACTCATATGCTGAAGGTATTTGGTGGTAGAGCCTGTCTGAGATGACTGCCCTCCTGTTAATAAGTTCATTGTTATTATAATTTTAATTTTTAAATCTGAATGCTCACCTGCAGAGAAATCAACTTTGGTCCACTGCTTCATTGCTTTCCCTCAAAATCTGCCACACTTGGTTCCATCTCTTGGACATTTGCTTATGTGATTTCTCTTGAGGATCTTTTCTCCTCTCCAACTCTGAAAATGTTCCTACATCACTATTAGTTCTTACATTACATGTGTGAGGAAACTGTCACAAAGGAGTTAAATGTCTGTCTACAAGTTTTATGCTTATTTTTTGGTCAGAGATGAGACTAACTACAGCCTGAACTCACTAGTCTGCTTTGCTGGAAACCACACTCCTTCTTTAAAAAGTCCAGAAATGGTATCACTATACTCACATCCCAAGCTCCCATGAAGAAAATAATAGGATGGGCTGACTACTGTATAAAGCATTAGCCATACAAGCATGAGGCCCAGATTTTGGGTCTCCAGAACCCTTGCAAAAGCTGAGTTAATGTAGCAACTCGCCTGTAATTCCAGTGCTCAGGAGGCAGAGACAGGATGTTTGTGGGGAAAACTGGATAGCTAGACTAGTCAAATAGGTGAGCTCAGGTTAAATAGTTAAGTGAGACATCCTGCCTCAATATATAAAGTGGAGTGTTATCGAGGAAGACATCCTGTATTAGCTACTTTTCTTTTGTGATGAAACACCATGACCAAGGAAGAGTTTATGGTTCCAGAGAGAGAAGAGTCCAGCATGAGGGGAGGCATGGCAAGATACAGCTGGAGCAGAAAGCTGAGTGCTCACATCTTCAAGTACTCATAAGAAGCAGAGAGAGTGAAAATAGAAGTGGGGAAAACTACAAATTCTTTAAGCCTGCTCCCAATGACACACTTCCTCCAGCAAGGCCACACTTCCTAAAGGTTCCATAACCCTCAAACAGTACCACCAACTGACCAAGTGTTCAAATACCTGAACCTATATTTGGCACTTCTCATTCTAATCACTGCACACCAGATGTTGATGTTCGGCCTCTATACACTTTTGGCATGCGCACATTCACACACACATATATACATAGGTATACACATACTTGTACACATGTGCCCACACATATGCAAATGTGAATATACATGCATATACCACACACGTCCACATAAAGGGAAAAAAAAGAAAATAGACTAAATGCAGTAACATAGATTGACTTTGGGGTTTATTTGTTGTCACTGGTAGGAAAGGTAGAAAGTGATCACAGTTCATTCTGAAATGTGTAAAATATAGTGTTGATCAGTCCTCAGCTACAGCATTTGACCTAAACATCTTGTTGAGTCCTCTACTTTCTCGACTATAAATAGGTACTAATACTTGCTGTGCATACTTGTGTAGAGAAGGCTTTTTTGTCTAATTACAACGGTCAATTTTTATTTTATTTTTTAATTTGTTTTTTTTTTATTTTTTGAGACAGGGTTTCCCTGTAGCCCCAGCTGACCTGGAACTTGCTATATAGAACAAGCTAGCCTTGCTCTCATGGAGATCAGCCTACCTCTGCCTCCTGAATGCTAGGGTTAAAGGCATGCACTACCATGCCCAGCCTGTATTTTGTTTTTCTAAGATTGATTTTTATTCGTGCATATATGTTGTCTGTCTGTTATACCACATGTGTGTGGGTACCTGCAGAGGCCAGAAAAAGGCATTGATCTCCTGGAACTGGAGTTACATGCAGTTGTGAATAGTTTGATATGGGTACTGGGAAGTGAACTAGGATCCTCTGGACTAATAGCTAATGTTCTTCACTGATGAACTGTCTCTCCACCCCACCCCATAATTTTTATTTCTTCTTCTCCCTATTGTTAAGTATGAAGTGTGGAATTTAAAGAAAATTATGTGAAGTTCTTGGCATAAATTGTATGTTCAACAAATTTAGCTTCACTTATTTGCCTGGCAACTCAGTCACTCTAAGACTTCTTTGAGCCAGTGAACTTCTTTACTCATTGCCAGAGTCCAGCTCCAGCTGAGTCCAGGGCCTGAAGGGGTGAAGGTAACTGCGGCAGTAGAAATGACTATACCAGAAACCACAACTGCAGTTCTAGTAGAGACTGTTGACTGATCTGCTCAGGAGAGGTCAGCCCGAATATCTTCTTTCTTTTTCTACTTCTGTCTCTACTTCTGAAAAAGCAGCCTCTATAACCTTTATTTATAATTAGAAAGCTTACATTAGCAGTAAAGCATCAGACCATAAATCAAACCATGAGTTTGCAGAGTATTTCTCAGTGTACAATATTTTTCAATAATCACAGTAACATAGCCAAGCAATGTCTTTATTGTTTTCTTTATATCCTTGTGGTTTCTATTTTACCATAGAAATGTAAGACAGTCTGTCCCCATTTGCCCTTTGATTCTTTGAATTTAATATTTACAGGTAAGTGTGTATATTTGAGAAAATTATTTTTCTCATGGGAATGGGAATAACCAACTTTTTATTTATTGTCTAATCAATATTCCAATTTATCTTTTTCCTCTCCCTTTTCCTATTCCTGAACATTTTGTATTCTGTTATTTTCTTCATTTAAATATTCTTTATTATTTTGTTGCCATTTATCTTTAAGTGCTTTTTGAATCACTATTACTCTTTGTAAAAGAATAGGCAATTTTTCTTCAGAGGTCATGCACCACCAGCTTTTTACTGACCTAGCAAATCTTCCTATACCAGAAGGAGTTTCTCTAAGCCAAACAGTTTTTCCTTATACCAAACTTTAGTCTCAATAGTTCCTTGTTCAGGATTAAAATCATAAACTCCTGTAAAAGGCAGCAGGGAATCTAGAGATTGCATGCTATATTTTGCTTTTGGGGGAAACCAAGCCTCATTATTAATCACAAATGCAGGTCCAAACGAGGTCAGTCATAGGAGGAAATCGTCTATCTTATTACTTTCATTTTGTTTCAGTAACATAATAATTCTGCTAAAGGCAGAGATTTCCCTGGTTTAGTTTCCCATTCCAGCATCAGAGTTGGTTATCAGAATACTTAAAGAAGAGAAGGTTATACAAATTACAAAAACCAGGAGTAACCGGGGAAGGGATGTCCACCAAAAGAGCAGCGGTCATCGGCTTTTGGCTGGAACTTTGTCAAACAACACTCTTGCCAAGAACCACGGAACTCTTGGAGCCAGCAACTCATGCCTGCTCCATTTCTTTCACCCCAACGGGCTTCCTACTCCCAGCCTATGCTTTCTCCCACCTGCTTTTGGCATTTCCCCAATGTCCCCCTGCCTGTAGCTTGGTACACCTTTAAGTCCCTCTTCCACTCTTATCAAGGGACTTCTGTGTGTTACTTGTTATTTGTCAGTTTAGCCTGTACTGCCTTTTGATAAGGTCAGAATTCATGGCTCAGGATTGTAGTTTGATTTTTACCAGTCTCAGGCACTTTTGTCTTTTGTCCACAAAATTATTAAAAGTTAGGTTTGTAACGTTGTTGCTATAAAGTCAAGTGTAATCTGGGCTAGGATCATTATTATATATCATTATTTTATTTATGTTTTCTCCTGGTTTTAAAGGAATTGATATATTTTCATAGGGTCCTGAAGGCAATGTTGGCCCTAGGCACTGTGCCTACTATCACTAGATGACTTAGTTCTGCTAAAGTTAGGTATTCTTGAATGGAGTTGTGTTGTAAACTGGAAACGTGGCACAGGCAGAGGAGGAGCACTATTTGGCCTGCTGTTGTGACTGTATATCGTTTTAGAACAGGGGGGCATCAATTCTAATCCTTCTTCTCACAGCTGTCTTTGGCAGGATTAATTCTTTCAAATCACCTTTAGTTTCCCCCCCTTTTTTTTTTCAGTGGATATTTTTAGGAAGTATGAATCTATCTGAGCTTGGAGAATCTGCAGCCTTCCCCAGAAGACATAAACCTGAGCTTTTACAGCCCCTGGCCTTTGATGGTAAGACTTGTAGCTGTTGACTGCATATTACTCTTCAAGGTGGCAATTTGAGAGATTGTGATGAATCATCAGTTTTGGAGACTAATTTATTTGCATGGGGTGCAAGCAACTGCTGTGACTCTTTGAGTGGTTGAAGATCTCCAAGTGTCCAGGCCAGGAATGGAAGTTTATAAGAAAAAGGAGGAATGACTGGGGTTAGCCAAGCCCAGATTCTATTTATGTGGCCCTCAGATAAGCATTCACTTCCAGGAGCCACTATTATTATAATACTTAAAACTCCAAGTGTTAACATAGGTCAAGCCTTTCATAGAAATTTCTTAGCTATTAGTATAAATAAATACTTCAGCAAAGAGGGGAGTATGACTTGAGCTGGAGGTAAGATTTGCACACAGGGAGGAAGGAGAAAGGAAAAGATGCCCAGAAGGATAGAGGATAAGAATTTGTCTCTGGCCTTCTTCAGACCTGTGTTGTTGGAATTTGGCCCTCTGGCAGTTTTCTTCCTCAGCAGGGTTGGGGTGGGGGGTGTTAGAGCCAAACAAAAGGAAAAATCATTTAGGAGACTGACACTGTGATTCCTGATTTCTTGTACTTCAAGCAAGGCCAAAGGTTAATGAGGATTTAGCTTTGAGAAAAAGGTCAATTTCTACATTAAAATCACTAAGTACATGTCTTCATTCCAACTCCTCTTTACACGTCTGGGCTACATTACTGTTCTCTGAATTTCAGCTAATTGGAGATTTGGAAGTCAGATTCACATTGTGATCTGGCATTGGGTCACCTATGTGTCTCAATTTCAAAATTATTCAACAATGCGCAATAACACTGAATATTGTTCTAGTGCTCAAAATTAGTCAGCATTAAATTTTAATGTGACCAATTATAATTCAAGCCCATTTTGAAAGAATTAGCATTTCTATCACAAATCTACCAGTTCTGGATCAGCTCCCAGTTTCCAATTCTTGGATTTCATTAGAGTGATTATATTTCAGAGTAGCTAATTATAATCTACTAAATCAAATACAATAACAGAACAATCCCTGAGGTCAGAATTGGTCATGCAACAGCTTTTCACAGGTAGTAAGGTAGCTAAAAGAAGATGTTTGGGTGCGAAGAAGAAAATAAAAATTGGGCCAAAGCAGTAGAGATAATTGAATTATTCATTTGGTAGACTTAACACTATAAATGATTATTTAAAATACACATACTAAAATAACCTTGATTAGTTTTTTTAACAGACAGCCCTTCTTTATAGAAATGCACTGGCAACAAAAAGACAAAAGTCATCAAAAGTTGTTCATTTCTCTGGGCTGGACAAAAATAGAATTTGCTGTTCAGAATTTGGGCCAAATGGAAACAGTGTGATACTGAGTAATTGGCCAATAATTTTGGGTTCCAATTCTCTGTCCTTGGCTATCTTTTACTATATAATTAGAATAACCCACTTCACCTTATTCAGCCTTCTTTTCCTTATCTATCAGTGTTAAAGATTTTTGCCCTGTCTACCTTTTTCTGTTGCTCTGAGAACCAAATGCATTATAATATCTAGAAAAGAAAACTAAAAATCTTGAGTGTTGGTAAAGAAGCCCAAGTGGTTTTAGAGATACACACACACACACACACACACACACACACACACACACACACATACACACACACACCCACAAACAAAGTTCTCAAGCAATGGAAGCAGGGCATCTCTATTACCTCCACCCAAGGTACAGTGAATATTGTTGAAGAAGGGCAGAAAGACTGTAAGAACCAGGGGATGGGGAGGTGAGCTGTGAAATGCTGTCCTCTGGACATGACATGGCTGTTGCATACACAAACTCATAACAGCTGTGGTTACTCACATAAAACCCAAACAAGATCAAGACAACTAAAAGTTACAGCACGGAGCAGGGAGGGGCTTTCAAGGCCTACCTCTACCTGAGTAGCTCTTGGCAGTTGATGGTTGCTGGGAAAAGAGTTTGTTTTCTTTAGGAGTCAGTGGTAGGTTCCCCATGCCCTAGTGAATGACTTCACAGGGATGTGCCTACAGTCATCAGTAATTGGACTCTGTTACATTTTGTTTTCCAAAATCAAAACCAAGTAATTTTATAACAGAAGAGATAAAGAACTTATTCAATAAATTATAAATTATAAACCATAGATTATAATATAACCCTGATTTTATTCCATAACACTAGTTACCTCTAAGTTTGTTTGTGGATATTAATATTTAAATATTTATATATTTCAAATTTTCTCTAAAAATGAATGCATATTATTTTCATACTATACGAGATATTTAATCATTTAGAAATAGGAAATCATAGAGGTAAATCTCCTTCCTTCATAAAAGGGAAAATCAAGACCCAGTTAGATGAGGTGATTGCTTGACATTTCCTTACTAGCAAGGCCAGTACTAAAGTCCAAATTGCCTGACTCAAATGCAGTAAGTGCTAACTGCATTCCCAGCTCTGTATTACTGATGACAATACAGAATTAAAGGTTGACTTATTTCATTTAGTTTACCTTTAAAAAGTATCCCTATCATGAATTGGGTCTCAGATAGGGAAAATTCTCTCCTATTTCTAGGAATGATAAATCAACTCACCATGGGGCAAGAGGTGAACCTTCCCCTTCTGAGAAACATTGTAAAAAGAAAAGTAGCTAAGCACTTGTTAGAGGAAGCATGCCATAATGCAGGAATAGTAATTTAGGAGTAGGATAATCTGATTTCCAGAGTTGTGCCAAATAGCTTAGGTTTTCAGCTTGACACACCTGGGATAAGGGAACCACAGTTCAGAATTTCTTTATCAGATTGGCCTGTAGGCATGTCTTGGGAGGCATTTTCTTGATTGTCGAATAATATGGGAGGATCCAGTCCACTGTGGATGATGCTATCCCTGAGAAGGTTGGTCCTTGATTGTTTAAGAAAGCAGGTTGACATAGGTCAGAAGACCAAGCCAGAAAGCAGCATTCCTCCATGGTCTGTGCTTCAGTTCCTGCCTATAGATTCCTGCCTTGAGTTCATGCCTTGGCTTTCGTCTGTCAAGGACTGTCACTTGGAAGAGTGAGATGAAATAAACCCTTTCCTCCCTGGTTGGTTTTGGTCATTATTTTATCACAGCAATAGAAAGAAAACTAAGACAAGCTGGTTCCAAAAGTGGGTATTGCTGTGATGGATCTGATCATGCTGTTTTTGAGAGGACTGTGGAAGCGTTTGGAATTTGGGGCTGGAAAAACCATTGCATGCTCAGACCTTAATGAGCTGTTGTGGGAGTTTGGAAGAATGTTTAGAGAATTTCGGGCAGTGAAGGCCTGGCTTGAGAAGCTTCAAAGAAAAGCAGGCAGAGCACAAGCCAGGGGAGGAAGCCAGGAAGCTGAGTTCCTCCATGGTCTCTGCTTCAGTTCCTGCCAGGTTTCTGCTTGAATTCCTGTCCTGATGTCCCTCATTGATGAATTGTGGCCTTGGAGTTGTAAACTGAAATAATCCCTTTCCTCCTCAAGTGGGTTTTGGTCAGAGTGTTTATCACAGCAATAATAGTTAACTAAAACAGTGGTGGTGACTAAATTGTTATTTTCCATTAGTGCCATAATTGAATTTTTTTTAACCAATGTTCTCTCCCTATTCTTCTTCCTATTTGACTAAGGAATTGTGATCTGGGGACTTTTGTGGCATGCTAAGACTCATTTTCCTTGAAAAATGTATTTCTTATTAATCTTAACTAGCTATTGCCTTCAGATGGAAGAGAATTTAATAAGACATTAAGTGAATCTAGAGAGACAGCTTTGTGTATTCATAGAGCTTCTGACTTTTCATCTACACTATTTTATGGGTTAATTACTTCATGGAGGATTCCTTTGCTTAGGAGTAAGGCATGAGATACAGAGGCTGAAGAAAGAAAAATAATATATGATGAGAAATATGAGTAATTTTTTTTATATAGCAAAAATAACTGATATGTTCTTTCTTCAATCTCTTCTTCAACTTAGCACATCCTTCTCTTATCAGACTTTCATTAAAAGTTAAAAATATGATCTGTAGAAACCAGAAGGATCAGTCTACCAACTTACAATTTTGCATATTTTTGGGTGAAAGTTTTTAGAGGAAACCTGGGAATGGGTGGAGAACCAGGACAATACCCAAAGGCCTAAGGTTGTGGGTAGAGAGGTAAGTGGTAGGGTGGAGTAGGTGAGTTAGGTAGACAGTTTTGCTGTAACGTAACAGCCCATCATGCTCCAAGTCCACTGCTTACTGAGGAAACATCGTATTCCTATAGAATTATAGATGGGTATATCTTTAGGATAAACTTGCATGTTTATACATAACTATGCAACTTCCCATATTGGTGACTCCAAGTCAATAAACAGACTTAACAGAAACAAGAATAAATGAGCATGAAAATGTCCAATCAGCTTTTCTATGAGTATTATAGTTATAATGCATATTTTCTCTCTAGGGAAGAAGAAATGTTGGGTTTATGATGGGAAGAATGCTTATATCAAGGCTGAGGTTGAAGTGAAGGCGATAGAAAAATAATTGTACAAACTAGAGATGGAAAGTCCTTATTTCATCTGGGAATGTTTATTTTCTCTTGTTTTATCAAATCACCAAATCTATCCTTTATCTAATGTGAGTATCTGGGGTCTAAGATGCCACCGATATGCTTTGGAGAACTCACTCAAGTTTAAGATGTTCCTGAACTTACCCTCAAAGATTTAATGAAAAACATTGACTAAATCCAATTAAAATGATTACAGTGGAAATTATCACCTTGAAAACTGACAGTCATTTCCATTTCTTTCATCAGTTTCAGTTTTCTCCTTTTCTTCTCCTTTTTACTTCTTGTTCTCGGCATCCGCTCTGTCCCTGTCTTGCTCCCTCTTTTGTCTTGGTGCACAGTCTCAAGCTGTGTTTTCTAAGATGGCCTCAAATTCATGATCCTTCTGCTTTACTCTCTCAAATTCTGAAGGTAAAGACATATACTGGTATGTATGACTCAAGTTATTTTATTTTAAAGGTATCTCTTGGGGATGAGTAATTACCTATAGACCTATGAATTAAGTTGTTTGCAGGATCAAGAAAATTGTAGACTGGTGATAAAGCCAACATGCATGAAGACTTAAGTTTAATCCCCAATACTTCCAAAAACTTTTTTTCTTTAAAAGAAAGCTATGTAATTTGAATAAAATGGTTTCATCTCATATTAGGCAAGAGACAGAAGAATGTCCAGTTATGCCAAAATCTAGAGAAAGAGAGTAAGGGCAAGGCAAAGTATTGGGATTCGATATTAGAGGAATTCATCTATGATCTTTGAAAGACTGTTTGTCAACTGTTGGGCATAAAACTGTAAAGGTTCATAGACAAATGTGGAGTGTTATGGCAAGTAACTTAAATGCCCCCCAGAGCTCATGTTAAATGCCTGGTCCCAGTTAATGACACTATTTGGAGGTGGCAGAAATTTTATAAACTAAGGTGTAATTGGAAGAAATTGGGTCATTGGTTGCCTGCCCTTGAAGGGAATACTGAGACCTCTGCTGCTTTCTTTCCTTTCCGTCCCCTTTTTTTTTCTTCTTGAGTGTCATGAGAAGCTTTGTTCATCACACATTTGCTGCCACAATATTCAATCTTATGACTGAGACCTGTAGCAAGGCAGAAACATCATTGCAGAAGGGCAGGGCAGAGGAAAGTCGCTCGCTTCATGGAAGTCAGGATGCAAAGAGAGACGGAGAGAAATAGTCCAGAGACAAGATACACCCTTTAAGGTATCCCAGTTTCCCCAACTAGGCCCTAATAACTCTATTTGTTTATCCTTGTTTCATTTCTGTTGCTGTGATAAAATATCCAGACAAAAAGCAACTTAAGGAAGAAAGAGTTTATTTGGTTTAAAATTCCAGATTACAGTCCATCATTTCAAGGAAGTCAAGGAATAAACTCAAGCAGCTAGTCACATCACATTGACAGATGAGCAGAGAGAGAAGAATGCCCCAATATTGTCTGCTTGCTTTCTGTTTCTGCTGAGCTTTCTTCAGTATACTGTTCAGGGTCCACGTTCAGGATGGAAAGTCCAAAAATCTGGGGACTGGCCATATATATTCTTTTTTAACAATTTTTTAATGAGAATTAACTGACATCCCCACAAGAACTGCCTATTCCCCCCTAAGTGTAGCAATCTCAATGACCTAAACATACCCTTTCTAGGCTACACCTCTTAAATGCCCTCTGCATCTCTCCCTGTATGACAAATAAGCCCTTTTCTCCTCAAATTGCTTTTTATCATGGTGCTTATCACAGCAACAGAAAACAAACTAGGACAGAAGTTCGTATGAGGAGTGAGGCAATGCTGTGACAGACCTGACCATGTTTGGGGACGGAGGTGGGGGCAGATTGTGGAAACACATCAGTAAGCAGTATTCCTCCCTGGCCTCAACTTCAGTTCTAGCCTTCAGGTTCCTGCCTTGAGTTCCTGCCTTAGCTTTTCTTGATGATGGACTGTAAGGTATAAAATGAAATAAATCCTTTCCTCCCCAAATTGCTTTTGGTTAGTGTTTTATCACAGCAACAGAAACCAAAGACCAGGAGACACATTTTTTGTTTTACATTGAATATTATTTCCAAGTGTATATGAAAACAAATAAACATAGGAGAAATAAGGGAACATATCTTAGATTCATCTTTGCAGAGTCTGAGTCTCAAGGACACAATCCAGCAGATGAATCCTGCTGTTTGACATGATCAAAGATGTGGCCATGCTGTTTCACCTCAGTGAAGCATCTGTGCTGCACACTCTGAAGAGACGCTATGAACACTGGATGTAAAAATCTTATGTTGGCACTCATGTTGGCAATGCCCCAACCTCTCCTGTGTGATAGTTTACATTTAATTCAAATATTCCCATACAGAGCACCCACTGGGGAGCAACTTATCCTAGAATTCTTTAATTTTATCTTGTCAGCATGTATATCTCTTCCCACATGTTTTAATGCTAAATTAAGTATGCAGTTTGCTGATGTGGTGGCACATGCCTTTAATCCCAGCACTCAAGATGCAGAGGCAGGCTGATTTCTGTGAGACTGAGGCCATCCTGGTCTACATAGTGAGTTCCAAGCCAGCTGTGGCTAGAGATAGACCCTGTCTCAAAAAGGCAAAAAAAAAAAAAAAGTATGAAGCTTCAAACATGGCAGACTAGAGTCCAAATGCTAGTTTAATAGTAATAACTAATAATAATAATAACTAATAATGCTGATTTATTAGTTATGATTCTTTATATTTTTAATGTTCCTAGCAGAATATATATTTGAGATTTTAACATGGTTTTGTGAAAAAATAAAGGATATGTTTGTTTTCATGCATATGACATTTATGTGCATTTACACAAATTTAAAAATAGATAAGTATATATTCACATTCACAATGATGTCTGTTTATAGGTAATCAAACAGTTATTGAGAATCTTACATGGAAGCCTGTGTCTGGATATTAAGGAAAGTTTTCAAATTCATGTGGTTATGATAACAATTGTTACCATAATTGTCAGCTAGTTTATGTATCGCCTTTGCCACTAGGCTGTGTGCTCTTTGGAAGGAATGCCAAGTCTCTGTCATGCTAAGTTTCCTAGCAAGTGCTCAATGAACACTTGTGCAATAAATCAGTTACTGGAAAAGATAAAAATACTCCATTTACAGGCCTGATAGTAGTGAAAAGGACATTGCTGTGTCCAGGATGAGACAGAAATTGGAAAATGGACTAGAATTAGTGTTCCCTGTGTGTATGTACCTACTCCTTTATACATGGAGGTCCAAGAGCATCATTCAGACTTGTCCTGACATCATAAGAGACACTTCTATTTGGAGGACAGGACACTAGACCCTAGATGAAGATGAGATTATATGCTTTTATGACACCTAGTCCATTTTGTTGAGAAAGTAGTCCATGTAGTCCCAGGTAAGGGTGGGTTTGTCTTCTCTCATTAAATTTCCCCCATTTCGTTGAACATTAACTTCCTGATGTCACTTTTTTATAAAATGAGATAGTAATGCCTATATCACCACATTAATTTGGAAGATTAAATTTTTAAAAAGTTAAGTAGAGCAGACAGTTCAGTGTCTGTCACCTAACTAGCACTCAATAAACCAAATGGTTTCTACATAGCCATTAAGTTCATGATGACTAGTTGCTCCTTTCCTTTGTTCTACTCAAAATCTATGCAGGACTGAGGATACTAGACTAAGATAATGGCATTAGGGACCCGTTGGCACAGTGGCCATGGCATTCAGCCATCTTGGTCCTCAACTCTCTGATTTACTATGTGATCATTTTAGTTTATCGATGATGGGACAACAAAATTGCCACTAAATTAATGGCTTGAAATAATATCTATGTTCTTACAGTTCTGAAGCATAGAAGTTCCAAATAAAATAAAATCAATAGGGTTGCGCTCCTTGAGGAGGTCTGAGAGAACAATCATTTGTTGTCTTTTCTAGTGTCTTAGGGCTATTGGCAATCCTTGTGATTGTACCATATCACTCTCTGTTTCCATTTTTCCCTTTGCTGAGACGGTATCATTATAAAGCCTAGACTGGTCTCAAACTCAGGATCTTACTGACTCTATCTCCATCTTATTTCACCTTTTCCTCTGTGTGTCTGTTGTAGTTGCTAAAATTGAGGGCCGAGATGTCATCTTCAGATCCTTACCTTCATTGCATTTATTTTTTAGCTTTTTATTTTCTCTTTTTATATACTCTTATTGAATTTTTGTATATTTCATACACATCTTAATCATCTTTATACTCCTCTTCTTCATCAGCACCCTTCTATTACCCACCCCCATTGGATTTCATGCATTATGTCATTTATGTTAAGGCCTATCAAGTCAAGTTAGTGTTCCTAGACTTCCCTTAGTGAAAATTCATCCACTGGGGTCTAGTCAGCCTATCTTAAAGAAGATCAGCTCTTCCTCACCTAGCAGTAATCAGTTGTCCAATAGTTCTTCTGCTAAGATTGGGATCTGCTGCCCATTTCCACAGTTCTATGCTGAGTTTTTGTCTGCATGAGTTTGCATGGGTCTTATACATGCTGTCACTATTGTTATAAGTTCATATGAGCAAGGTCCCAGGAGGCTATAAAACTCTATTTCTATATGGTCATGCACCTCCTCTCCTGGCTCTTATAATTTTTCTGCCCCTTCTTCCACAATGGTCCCTGTGCCCTGGGTGGGTCAAGTTTAATATAGGGGTCCTCTCCAAGGACTTATACTCTACAGACTCTTATTCTCTATGCTCTGACCACTTGTGGCCCTTTGTGTTCATGGTCCTCTGTGCATAAGGGAGCTTCATTGATGAGAATTGCATTAGTATTCTCTCTACTTGAAGGGAGCCTTAGGTGTAGAGGTTCCATTGTAGATGTGTCACTTAAGGTTGGGCATTTTGTAGACACTTAATCTGTATGTGTGACCAGTTGTAGAACTCTGTAATAGTTTTCATTTGTTGCAAAAGAAGCTTCATTGATGAGTGATGGCAGACATTCTTATCTGTAAACATAAGGATCCATATTTAGCACATAATAAGAAATTACATTTGTCTAGGGATGTGCCTTGGGTTTTTTTGCTAAAATCTATAAACTCTCTAGCTGTGTGTATTTGGCTATGTTTATAGTACCACACATGAGTTTCTTCCCATTGAGTGGACTTTAAGTCAAATTAGGGAGCTGTTGTTTACCACCAAGATAAAAGTGCCACTACTGCCCAATATAGTTTGCTATTCCAGTAGTTGTTGTGGTTATTAGGTTTTAAGGCTGGGGTTGGACCATCAGTTGATCTCTCTTAACAGCTTGCATAGTGTTCTTCAAAACTATGGGAACTAGCCTTTCAGGTTAGTTCCAGCTCCATTGCTCCAAGTCCTGTGTCCAAAGTATGTCCTGTCTTCAGCAATAGGGTCTTGCCTTCAAGTTCTGGGAGGCAGTCAAGGGCTGTGGAAATAGCCTGTGTAATTTTGGGAGGACTACTCTGGACAAAAACTTGAAGGGAGGTTTCTCCTGTCTGGCACTATTTCTTCATTTTATATCCTTCATTATACACATTTATAATGATGCTTTTCCCAAATAATATAACAATCACTCTCTCTGAGAGTAAGATATAAGCACATCTTTTTATATTTTATTTATTATTTTTATCTTATGTGAATGACTATATTGCCTGCATGTATATAAGTGCACCCTTGTTGTGCAGTGTCGAGGGAGATCAGAAGAGGATGTCAGATCCCCCGGAACTGGAATTACAAAAGGTTGTTAGCCATCATGTGGGTGCTGGGAACTAAACCTGTTTCCTCTGTAAGAATAGCTAGTGCTCTTAACCTCTGAGCCAACTCTACAGCCCCTAAACACATCTTTTTAGAGGCCATAATTGTCACTTTAATTACCAAGTAGCCCACACTGAGCTATTTATTTTCCCCAGTATACTGAAGTAAGGTTTCTAAATCTTGCTATGGTAGAGATTCCATTCTGGCTTCAAATGACCGATGGCTCCTCATAAAAATCCCTGCAGGCCTGTTCTTGTGCTCTTTGTCTTCAAGAGAAAGACAAAAATTTTGCAACTTTTGCAGAAGTCCCAGGTCCATTCCCAGCACCCACATAGCAGCTCACAGTCTTTGGTAAGTCCAGTGCCAGGGGATTCAATGCTCTCTTCTGGCCTCTGTAGGCACCAACCATGCATATGGTATACATACATACATACATACATACATACATACATACATACATACATGCAGGCAAACACCCATACACATAAAATAAAAATAAATCTTTTGAAAAAAGAGTTATATGTGTCAGACCTATTAGTAGTTAGCTCAAGAGGTGATCCCAGGTCCTGATGTTGGTCTAACCCAGTTCTATCTGCTTTGTTACAAGTCCCTTCTTCACATGAATCCAAAAAGCTGTCCTCCTTTGTGTTCCCTTATAAGCAAATGTTACCTGACAGGGAAGAGCTGACCAACCTGGAGCATCGTTGGTGTGTTTTCTGAATCCATTCTGATCTTCCCTCAGACGTATTCAGGTCTCTTCTGTGTGGCTATAAACCCTTACAAGAGACTCCCAGTATATCAGAAGGAGGTCATGGCTGCTTACAAAGGGAAGAGGCGATCCGAGGCTCCCCCTCACATCTTTGCTATTGCTGATAATGCCTTTCAGGATATGCTTCGCAGTAAGTAGCTGCCCTACGAAATGAAAAGTGAAAATATCTGATCTATGTTTTCTCCATGTCACTAAAGGGTGCTTAGGCATTGGGAGCAGAGTGTGGCCTTCACGGCTCTCTAGTCTCTTGCGCTTATACTTCCTTCTAGATAAAATGTGAGCAACATAGTACATGCCTCCTAGGGTTACTGGAACAATTAGCTTGTACTTCAGAGTGAAATAAAGCATTTGAGGTGCTGGGACTGGAGGCTGGCCCAGAAAAAGCCCTCTACAGATATCTGCTTTAAAAAATGTTTTATTTATTAATTTTATTTTATGTGTATGAGTGTATTGCCTGTATGGATCAGTGTACCTGTGTCATGCAATGCCCAAGGATGTCAGAAGGGTTTTTGGATCCCTTGAAACTGTAGTTATGAAAGATTGTTAGCTACCATGTGGGTACTGAGAACTGAACCCAGATCCTCTGCAAGAGCACCTAATGCTCTTAACCACTGAGCCATCTCTCCAGCCCCAGATGTCTTCTGTAACTTATAGCCAATAAAACATTGGCTAGATTGCTTGACACAAAGAAGTTATTCCATGGTTACTCTTATACAATGATTTTTAAAAACCTAAAATTGATTTTTAAAAAAGCCAACATTAGTTTGTTATCATTTGTACTTAGAGTAAGGAAATAGGCCTAGAATTTGTATGTCCTTATGACTGGTATAAATAGGGATATCTACTTTATCCTGTGTCTTTTAAATGTAATTTTTCAATAACTGTAAATGAAACAAATCCTTCCCCTTGTTTCTAAGTTAAAACTGAAGAAACCGAAGGCACGAAAATTGTGAATCAATTAATGTCAATACATAAGCTTCAACCATAAGAATAGTTTGACTTTTTCCTTTTCTTTTCAGGTAGAGTGAATCAGGCTATACTCTTCACATAAGTGTTTGTCTTGTTTTTCTTTTGGCCCAACATGAAGTTTCAGTGGAGACAAATGAATATATTTCATTGAGAATAAAACCTAAATTTGACAACTTTAAGTTGTTTGCTGTTTAGATGGAAAATACATTTTAAGCAAGATAAGATACTCAGCAAATAGTCATAGCACTTCAGTGGTTATTCTATGGTGTGAGGAAATCTGTCACCATCATTCAAAGATACTCTTTAGAAACTACATGCTAGTTTAGTACCTTTCAGTAGAGGGAGTTCCACTCTTCCAAATGATCATCTTCAAAGGTCTCTTCACTATTTCATTAAGCAGAGAGGCTGAAAGTCTAGAAGATAAGGTCATGGAACAGATAACTCACTATGCTGAGCAGCGAGATTGGGGATATAACATAGTGCAGCTGTCCATTCAGGCTGCTTTCATGGTCACCGCCCCCGCCGCCACCCGATCCTGGATCCTGGGGCTGGTGAGATGGCTGTGTCAGTGGTGCTGCATTCAGACCCAGGAGACCAGGTTCAGAGACACAGATCTACTTTATTGAGGAAACAGCGAGCTTATATAGGGTTCTTAAGTCGTTCAGGAGAGTGTACAATGATCAGTTCATCCTTGAGCAGACAGCTTAGGTTTCAGTTTACAGTTTCATTTTAGTGATCCAGACTAGTATTCCTGTGAATCATGTGATCAGCCCTCTGAGGGAGGGGTAGTTGGTTCCCTGGGGTTAGGGGGCCATCTTGTGTCCTAAAAGGCAACCTAACATACTCCAACAATGTAGTATATACAGTAAAACATGGTATATCTTTGAAAAATAACAAAAGAGAGTGAAGAGGAAGAAGAGGACCTAGGTGATGGAAAGAGCACCAGCTAGGCAGGTGAATGTCAGTAGGTAACTGAGACCACAGGGCTGTGAAGTACTCAACCCTGTGGTCTTCCTTTGGAGTGATGATGACCCCTTGCATTTGGCTTTCCATTGCTATCTCAAAGGCGATCCTGTGGACTTAGCACATTAGAGTTTAAATTCAGCTTTTTGCAAATAACGTAGACTGGTTTCTGATGTTTTATGGAGAGAAAGGCAGGCCTTCATGCTTTAGGTGAGCAAATGTAGTTAGTTATCAAAGCGAAAGGAGAACTCTAAAGCACAGCTTCCTGATGAAATGATTATCAGTCCCTTTTTTGGGAAGAGAGTTGTATCTGATCAGAATTATTTAATTCATTGCACTGATAATCAGAACCAGTTAACTGTGTTTCTGAATTTCAAATTACAGAGGAAAATCTGGTGCTGGAAAGACTGCGAACACCAAACATATTATCCAGTATTTTGCTACCACAGCAGCCACAAGTGAATCCAAGAAAAAGCCGGTAAGTGTTCATACATCAAGACAGGAAAAGTGAGGTAGCCTCATTCACTGGGTAATGGACACTCTGCCTGACCACTTATGGGGTGTAAGGAAGTAGAAAGAACCACAGAAAAATTAGCAAAATTATGTTAGTTACTTTTCTCATACCTGTGATAAATATCAAGCAAAGCAATTTAAGGACGGAAGGGTTTGTTCTGGCTTACAGTTAGAAAGGATACATTCATCATGGTAGAGAAGCAATGGTGACAGGACTAGAGAGCCAGCTGGTCACATTGCACCCACACTCCAGAAGCAAAGAGTGAACAGAAAGTAGAGCTGGGCTATAAAGTCTCAAGGCCTGCCTCCAGTGACCCACTTCACCCAACAAAGCTCCATGTCTTAAATGTTCCATGTCATCTCAAATGGTGCCACCAACTTGAGACCCTTTGCCCCTTTAGAGGCTCATCTTAATCAAACTGAAAACAATTATTACATACTTTTAAAATCTGCTTCAAGGAATATGTAATGGCTGTGCTCTTTTGGTTTGCTTCTCTGGTTATTATGTCTTAAAAATCTCAACCTTTTGACTTCATGTCATCACTACATTGAATGCTTTCTTCTAATATTTCCAAAATCCTTAGCAACAATGCCATGCCAGATTCCCACAAATACACACCAATAAAGAAGATGGCATTCTTTACCCCTAACTCCTTTATCAGGTAACAGATGCCCAATAGAAATACCCTCAGCTTTAATCACACAGGTTCCTTAAAACTTTACTGTCTCTTGCTATTTACTGTATTAAACCTTGCTATCTTTGTTTCATTTCCCGTTGTGACTAAAATAACCTGACAAAAGTAACTTAAGGAGAGTTTTTTTAAAAAAAATTTATTATTTTTATTTTATATGTATGAGTATATTGCTTCTATGTATGTAAGTGCACTTATGTCATACAATGACTGCAGAAGTCAAAAGAGGGTACTGGATCCCCTGAAACTGGAGTTATGGATGGTTGTTAGCTGCCATGTAGGTGCTGGTAACCCAACCGAGGTCCTCTGCAAGAGCAAACAGGGCTCTTGACCACTGAGCATATCTCCAGTCCTTAGAAAGGGTTATTTGGGTCACAATTTTAGGTTACAGGCCATAATTATAGGGAAGTCAAGGCAGTAGGAACTTGAAGCAGCTAGTTACATTTCATCCACAGTCGGGAGCAGAAAACAGTGAGTTAATATGTGTATGCTAGTGCTCAATTCACTCTCTCCTGTTCATTCAGACCAAAGCCCAGCCTATGAAATAGTTCTGTCCACATTCAGGGTCTTCCAACTTCACTTAACCCACTTAAGAATATCAAGCTAATCTAGACAATCACTCTTTGAGACACTCTTTCCAGGTGACAGTTAAAACCAGTCATCACCCTTGTTATTTTTAATTCAGCTTCCTTTTTTTTTTTCCTTTTAAGACAGGGTCTCCCCGTAGCCCCAGCTGGCCTGGAACTCTCTGTGTAGACTAGGCTGATCTTGAACTCAGAGATCTGCCTGCCTCTGCCTCCCGAGTGCTGGGATTAAAGACATGCACCACCATGCCCGGCTCAGCTTATTTTTTTTTCAAGCTCCACTCCACAGTGGGCTTTTATAACAACTTGGGAATAATTACACCACATAGAAGGAAAATTTAGCAATGTTGAGTGGTACTTAGAATCAATTGTTACTTAGCTGTTATATCTCACATCATTCCATTATTACTTTGAATTTTCAATTAGAGGCAACCTGTTATTTTTGCTATAACAAGAAATATACCAAAATTTAGACCCACTTGATTCAAATTTTAATCTCTGAAAGATATCCCTTCCTATCTCCTCATTCCTGAATTTTATTGATTTCTGTAGGTATCATTGAACTCTTTATTATACCCTAGATAAAACTTCACTTCTGTGTGCATTTTAGTTTTGTTTTTTGTTGTGTGGTGTTAATTTGTTTTATCCTGCAATTTAGTATGATGATGCATAATATAATGTATAATGCATAACAGATCTATGGAAACCCTTATGTATATAGACCTTTAATTCTTAGGAAGATAATAAATACATACTATTCAAAAGGAAAATAATATTTATACATGTTATATTCTTGAATATCATATAGTATATAATTATATGGTCTTCAAGGATGAGTTTATAAAACAACAAGCCATTCGGGATCATTCTGTGTGAACAGCCCAGAGTCCTGAATATGCACAATTCAAATTTAAAATCAACATCATTAAAATTTACTGCTTGATATGAACCTCTAGATTACCTAAGAATAGTGTAAGAAAAATATAATGCACTATCTTTAGATAAATTTCCAGGTTTTTCCATTTGTTTTATTTTGTTAATAAACATTTTCTTTTTCTACATGGACCAATGATGAAACAAACAAAACCATTAAAAATTAACGAGCTCCCATATGTTTTCATTGGAGAACCATATATAAACCAGTATCTTTCATCCCTCTGCTTTTTTGAAAGTCAGTTCTGAAGATAGCATTTTATAGTCATATTTGGAAACTTTTGGTCATTGGCTATTACAGTTGTAATGGGGATAGACGTGGAGATGGAAGGTTGGCTGACCTATGGAATCCTGGTAAAACCTTAATCAGCTATACTTCTTTCCCATACACCTTGGGGAATTTTAGAAGATCAAATTGTGCAGATAAATCCTATTTTGGAAGCATTTGGAAATGCAAAAACTCTGAGAAATGACAACTCTTCTCATTTTGTAAGTAACATGATAGCATCTCTGAGCCTATGATTTTTAGGAGTTGAACAAAGGGTTTTTAAAATGTTTTTCAGTAATTAAAAGTCTCATGACAGAGGAAAATTTTGGATTTAAAAACATAGTTTCACAAATCCATTTTGTGCCAAGAATGACTGGCAGGGAGCCACTACAAAGGTTAAGGAAAACTGCAGAAGGCTTCATGTTTGACTCTCTGGGTGTAATTAAATAATAGACTCAGGCTTGTTGCCTAGTTTTTATGGAAAAATCTTAGTGATGCACAGTCCCTGTTTATATTTGTTTGCATTCTTGGTCTGTTTCTAGCAGATGTTAACACTGGTGTGTTAAACAGTTGCTACTTTAGAGATTTGTTAAAATACTAATGTATATTTTATGAAACATGTAAGAGAAAGAGAAGGAAAGGGAAAGAAGGAAGAAAGACAAAAAGAAAAAAGTGAAGGAAATAATCTCTGTTACTGAGATAGAAATGAGAGAGAAAAAGAGAGGGGGGCAGGAAAGAAAAGTAACAGAAGAGAAGGGATAGAAAAGGAGGGGGGAGGGAAGTAAGAACAACAAATAAAGAAGCACAGCAGCAGGAAGATGAAGATAATGTTAGAATGATAAATGGAAGCAGAAAAAAAATTAGATATATTGATAAGTAGAAGAAAAAAAAGACAAATGCACATTCAATAAAAACCAAGAAATCTGGTAAGTTTCAAAAATTAATACTGTGCATGCATACATACATATTAATTTTCCACATATATATGCATGCATACACATATATGTTTGCATGTGTAGCTGCTATTCTTGCTTTGCTTTCTAACGTACTAGCTATCAGTCCCCTGTTGTGTCTACTCTTTTTCACCTGCCAGAAACATGTCCTGCTTCGGTGCCTTCTCCGCATTGGCTGACCACAGCCAGGCTTTTGTTTACTGTACTCACAGCCTCATCCTGCGTGCCCCAGCTGCACTGAATATGGCATTCTGACGTAGATACTGTCACTACTGGACACGCTTATGCCTGGCTAGATTCTTCTTTATAGCTTTTTGTTGAAAGGAAGAAAGCAGACAAACCTGATGTTTAAATTCAGTGTATTTTGAGCCTTAAGTCAAAGTATATTTCTCCAAGTCACTCATTCTTCTGAGCACAGATGAAATGAAGCCTCACCCTTTTCTTGGTTATATGGACTTACATGATATGGGCCTGTCTATCTCTGAGACTTGGTTTATTCTCCCCTTTCTCTTCTTCCCAAGCTATAGCACACATGGCATTTCTTTTTATTTCAAACTATGTCAAATGTTCCTGTTGAGTACCCAGATGTACCCTCTAGAACATACACTTCATAAGGGTAGGGATCATGCTTATTTTTCTTGTGTAGTATCTTTAGTACCTCAGAGGTTTCTTGGACCACAGAAGATATTCAGGGAATATTAAATGCATGAATGAATGAGCATGCCAAGAAGTTGATACATTCTTCCTTTTCAAATAAGAGCATTGAGGTCCAGAGAGACCACAGTGCTCACAAGAACACACAGGCAGAAACTAGCAGATCTGGTACTATAAGTCAAGACTGCTCTAGCCATGCCAGCCAGTCTGGCTCCCTCTAGACACTCTCTGGTGCCATCTCATCTCAAACCTATGTTGCATTTTATTTTCCAATCTTTTGGGGATGTAATCACTTCCAGACAAATATAATAAAGCAAGTGCAACTGTCTGGGAAGTTTGGATAGAAGCCTGTGCTCTGTGTCTACCTAGGGAAAACTTGTCAGGATATACTTTGGTATGAGAGGCATGCTGCCATCTGCAGACATTCAGATCTGTAAGTAGCCACTGCACTATCTGGTTGATTTTCTTCTAAGTTTTGTTAAGACTATGTAAGTATGACTATCCATTTTCCATCTTTCCAGATTTGCTCGAAAATCCAGGATAATTTACCAGCAACCCGGAGAGAGGAACTTCCACATATTCTGTCAAAGTCTGTCTGGAAAACAAGAACTTCAGAGTAAGTATAAGACTGAATCTGACTGTCATTCTAGTTAAGGAGAGAGACACAGGTTTCAGGGGATGGAGATACTGCTTTAGTAAGTCTCTTAGCACTTCTATGAATTTAAATGTTTTTTTTTGGAGAATTTCATATGTGAGTACACTATTTACATCATTTCCATATTCCCTCTGCGCCTCCAATTCTTCCCATGCCTCCCTACTCTCTCTCAAATTCAGGACTTCTTTAATTATTATCATTGCAATTATATACATATCTGCATACGTATATACATATATGTACATATAAACATATAAAACGTACTGAATCATTTAATGTTGCTTGTATGTACATGTATTTAGAGCAGATCACTTGGGATTGGATAACCTATCAAGGAGCTTCTCCCTGGAGAAAACTGATTCTCCTCCTATCAGCAGCCATTGATTGCCTGTAGCTCTTCATCTAGAGGTAGGACCTTGTGAAATTTTCCCTATCCACACAGGCTTGTCAACTGGTATTAAGATTATTCAGACCTTATATTGTCGAGATTTCATGAGTGTAGCTTTCCTGTTTTGTCTAGAGAATACTGTCTAGCAGAAGGTGTGCTGGTCCTCTGGCTCTTACAATCTTTCCATTCCCTTTTCAGTGATGTTCACTAAGCCTTGGCTATAGGGGCTGAGTCACTTGTTCTTTGCAGTTTGACTCGCTGTGGATCTTTGTAATAGTAGCCACTTCATGAAATTAGAAACGTCTCTTGATGAGGAATGAAAGCTACACTTATCTAGGGGTATAAGAGTACAGTTAGAAATTATATTGGTTTGGAAAAATGACAGTAGTAGGTTGTCCTCTAATGTCTATGACCTCTCCACCCATGGATATTTGGCTATGTTTACAGTACCTGGCATGAATTCCCTCCTATTGAGCAGGCCTTAAGTGGAGTTAGACAGTTGTTGGTTATCTCCAAGATAAAAGTGTCACTATTACACTGTTGTGGATATCTTGTTGGGGTGGTTATTGTTGGGGTTCATAGTATTCATAGCTAGATAGAACTATTGATTGCTTTTCTCACTTGTCAGCTTGCATAGCACGTTCTGATACTATGAAAGCTCAAAATAGCACTTGAGGCCCTAGGTAGAGCAATAAGATAAGGGAAAGAAGAAAGCAAGCCATCTCTATTTGCATCCTTATTTGTTATACATAGGATATTCCATAGTAGCTTTTCTATATACCAATAGCAAACATGCTGAGAAAGAGATCATGGAAAGACTGTCATTAACAATAGCCTCAAAGACATAACCTCACCATTAGGTAAAAGACCTCTACAATGAAGCTTAAATTTCTGAAGAAAGAGATTGAGAAAGACACTAGAAGATGGAAAGGGCTCCCATGCTTATGGATTGGTAGAATTAATATTGTGAAAGTGACCATCCTACTAAAAGCAATTTATAGATTCAATGCAATCCTAGTCAAAATCTCCATGAAATTCTTCACAGAAAAAAAATTCTAAAATTCACACAGAAGCACAAAGGACCCTGGATAGCCAAAGCAATCCTGAGCAAAAATAAGGAAGGATTCTATTTAGTTATAAAGAAAAATGAAATCACTAGATGTGGTGGCATGTACCTTTAACCCCAGCCCTTATGAGGCAGAAGCAAGTGAATCTCTGTGAAATTGAGACCAGCCTGGTCCCCATAGTGACTTCCAGGTGTACTGAAACTAGGGATATGCTGTCGAAGAAGAAGAAGAAGAAGAAGAAGAAGAAGAAGACTCTCTCTGCAGCTGGATCCCTCCATCATTCATGATGGCTGGCTCGATTTCTTAAGGTAAGGCAGGGGCTTCCATGGATCATTTAAAAAAATTTAAGTACCCCACCCCCATTCTCTTCCTATCCCCTGCTCCAAAGGGGGGAAGAAGAAGAAGAAGAAGAAGAAGAAGAAGAAGAAGAAGAAGAAGAAGAAGAAGAAGAAGAGAAAAATGAAAGCATGAATTTGCAGGAAATGGATGGAACTGGAAAATATGCTGAGTGATGTAACCCAGAGTGGGGAAAGCCCTCTTATTTTTGGATCCTAGCTCTGATCTTTAGATTTGTACAAATAATCTGAAGTAGCTGCAGAAGCCAGGAAAGTAGAAAGCAATCAAGGGGTAAGTGAAAATGAGCTCTAGAGAGGGAATAGTAGGATGGGGATGCTATAAAGGAGAAGATGGGTGATAGATATTAACTGGGGAGGGTAATCCAGAGGGAAAGGGAGGAAGGAAAGATAAATAAAACTAAGAATATTTGAAAATGTCTTAAGAAAACATTTTTATAAGTATATATATATGGAATTATGCCACATAGGCAAAAAATGCTTCCACTTGCACACAGAAACCAAAGACTAATAAACCCCTGCACCAGGCATGGGAAACCCTTCTTTGAGTTATCAGTTAGGGGAGACCAAGAGACTCCTCAAACAATATAGGCTATTGCCGTTGCCCTGGGCTGTCTCCCGGAAATTGTAGATAAGTTCTTATTGCTTGGTGACACTATATATACAAATCCCATGCAAGCTCAACTCAGACAAAATCCCAGCATAGACAGGGGAAATGGGTAAGAAACCCCAACCTGACCTATGAAAATTCTGGCAACTAATAGCTGCTGGATGGTGGAGAGAGAGTTTCTTTCAAGAATGGGACTCTTGGTAAGTTAACCAAACTCCAGTGGATGAACCCATACTGAAGGACATTTGAGGACACAAATTAGACTCCATAAACCTTATTATATGTGTAAAAGTACATTAAATTGGGCAGTGGGCATTAAGAGGAAGTGAAGATAAGGGAGAGGATTAAGTATTACCAAATTATATTGTACAAAATTCACAAAAATTCAATGAAAAAATAAAATAAATCTACCTCGAGGAGGATAAAAAAGGGAAAGAATAAAAACCTATTGCTAAAGAAACCACACACGTCAGAAACAGGACTTAGAAGAATTGAGCTAGAGCTTGACCTGGAACCCTCCTCCCTGAGGTCTTTTGGCATTTTTATTTTTATTTAATATTTTTAATGTTATTTTTATTTTATGTGTGTGCATGTTTTGCAGGCATGTACGTAAGTGCACCTATGTGTGCAATATCCATGGAGGCCAGAAGACGCCATTGTATATGCTGGAACTGGAGTTAACAAAGGGTGGTTAGCCACCATGTGGGTTCTGGTAACCATACCCAGTCCTCTGCAAAAACAGAAAGTGCTTTTAACCACTGAGCCTTTTCTCCATCCTGTCTTAACACTTTTAGACCTCAGTTTATTTATCCTACCAAAAGAAATTTGGGCACTTATATAACTGATGTTCTGTAAGTTTATGTGGGTAAAATAAATGGCTGCAATGTTACTTAATTTGGAAGTAAAATCAAAAAGAAAATTTGCAGTTAATAAGATGCTTTGGCATTGTTAAATATGTGTGTGTATGTGTATGTGTGTGTCTGCATGTGTGTTTGTGCTTGTGTGCACGTGCATGTGTGCATGTGTGCATGCACCCGTGTGTGTGTGTATGTTTGTGGATGTGTATAATGTCTCAGATAATTTAAAGTCTCAAATATTTAAAGCCATACTGGTGTCATAGAGAAGAGGAGAGAAGAGAGAGGCATCACTGTGATTCGTGGTATCCAATGGGAGTTTTATAAAAAAGGAGAATGTAGCTTGAAATATTAAGAACAGATAGAAGAGCCAGATGAAGTGAAAATTGGAGGCTATATTTTTGAAGGAGGAACCATATATACAAGACCAGGAAAGGGAAAATCAAGAGCATGAACAAAATGCAGGCTGACTGGATTAGAGGATTTGCATAGAGGAGTCTGAAGACTTTATCCTGATATTTTCTGCATGTAGGGAGGTAGGAGGATGCATGTTTGTGTTTGGTGCTGTGGTGGGTAGTAGGGAGTAGGTGAGATAATAGCAGACCATCCACTTCTTTGAGGTTAATGTGTAGGATGATTATTAGCCTGGCATGGAGGCAGAAATGTTAGAGAGAAGAGATTGGCAAGACAATATTGTGTGACTGCTATGCATATGTAGGGAGGGGGTTGAGTGAACACAGAAGTCCTGTCATCTTTGACTTACATTCTAGAATGAAAAATAATTAGCAACCAGCATACAAAGAAGTATATAAGTTCATAGAGTGGCATACCTCTAAAACAAAATAAAGAACAATGAAGGGTAGAGAGAAGGGAGTTTGGAGAGCTGTAGGTGGTTGGCTATATTTTAGAGGAAATAACCAGGCAATTTTTCTCTGAGAAGACACTATTTCTGCAGATTAAGTGAGTGATTTAGATATGCAGTTTTCCAGGAATAACATTCTCAGAAGAGGGAATGGTGAAGGCAAACAGCCTGAAGAACGAGATATTTTATTAGAATGGCAGATGGCATGTTTTAGTGGGAGAGTGCAAGGTATCCAGATAGTCTAGCATTTCTTGGATAGAAATGTTTAAAGGAGTTCAAACATTATTTTAAGTGCTGTGGGAGGTCGTTGGAAGGAAAATGATAAGTGGATTTTGTTGCATTTGTGTAAAGCTGTTGAGGACAGCCATGTACCCCACAGGAGTGGATATGGGCTGAGTTGAGAGATCCCGGCCAGCAAATTGATGGGAACAGTTCTATCATCTATGGTGCTGGGGTTGAAAATGGTATAAATCTGGCAGTATTTTGAGTGCTTAGTCTTAAGCTACTAAGTGCCTTCACAAAATAGGAAAAGTTGTGCAAACTAGATAATTATGTTCATCATATGTTTGTTGGCGATAAGTAAGCAGTACCTGTTACCCATACCTGAACCTGAAACAGGTTTTGTTTTTTTATGGTTCTGAGGATCAAACTCAAGGCCTCATACATGCTAGGCAAGAATTCTACCACTGAATCACATTCCAGCCATAAGTCTAACGTTCTTGTTGGACTAGGCATCTGACACATAGGGTTTATGGTGGTTTGAATGATAAATGTCCCCAGTAGGTTTATGCATTTGAACACTTGGTCCCTAGCTGCTGGTACTATTT